AAATTATACCTATATCTCATTCTTGAAATCTTTTTTTTTTAAATAAAGGAAAATTTCTTTTAATAAATAAAAGTAACTCGAGGGTAACATATTACGAATAACTGAATCAATAAAAAATATAACTTTTAGAATGTGCTTAAAACTTCTAAACTTCGGCTCCAACCATCAACTCTATAATTTAAATAAATTAAAGCTGATTAACAAAAAAAATATATAACTGACAGTTACTGCTAGGCATCAAGCTTTAGGCAACATCAATTGGTTGTATTTAGTGAGGAAAAAGTGTTTCTTATATTATAATTGACATATTGCAAAATCTATATTTAAAAAAAATATATGTTTACATAGACAAACATTACAACAGCAAACATTTAACTGTCTTGTGTCTATTTTAATCCGACAAATGGAAAGATGAAAACTTTTACCTTAACCAGGTATTATATGTGGTTAAGACAGTTGAAGCAAAACTCACATAAAATGTTAGTTAACAATGATGAATTTAACCAAGCTCTTCCCAAAAACCTGGTGATAAAAATGATGTATCAAAGTTTATTTTTAATCCAAAATATTTAAACAAATATTATTTATCACAACATTATTACAAAACTATGCTAGAAGTTTGTACTTTACTAAGACTAACATATGTTTTTATAATACTATAAAAACGTATACTTGTCTTAGTAGATTACAAACTGCTTACATAGTTTTGCAATATTACTGTTGTAATGTATATCATGGGGGAGCACCGGGAGAAATCCCGGCGGGCCGGTGGGCCGGCGTAAATTAGGTCAGTAAAAATTTTAAAATGAGTGAATGCAAGAAAAGAAAGGGAGGAGCAGAAAAAAATTTATCTAATTAGAATTCGAATATTTTCTCAGGTTTTATCCCTTTTTAACCCGTTTCTATATTTTCTTTTTCTTTGATGAGGGCCGGACAAATGTAAAATTCCCGGGCCGATTTCAAGCCTCAGTCCTCGTTATCACAAAACTATGTTATCGGAAATTTTCCTTGAGATAAATAGTTTACTTTATACAGAAAACATAAAAAGTTTACTTCATAAAACAACTTCTTGCAAACTTCATTTGATAAAACTGTATCGTTTTGTTCTAAAACCATTCGTATATTATAACAAATGTCAGACATCAAAAATAAGGCACTAAAAGAACTTTACAATGATAACTGCAAAATCTTTATGCAATTTAACAATATCAGCTGTTAATCAATTTTTTTTCAAGTTGCACAATTAATTTCTAGACTTTTTAAATCTAGATCCAGATCAGATTAGGCGTATTGATCACTTTATTCCATACTACTTTAGGCATAATTTAACTTTCGTTAGTTAAAGTGATTAAAATACACACCTCGTACCATGATTAGACTAGGCAAAATTTATTTCGCCTAATGCATGAAATGCCTAATCATAGTTTGTAACACTCGCATATCGTAGTTAAGTTACTCCTCAGCAACGCCGTAGCCGTGAATAAAAAATGCCTGATGGATTTTTTAAAAGTAGAGATTACATCTTAATAGTAATATAATATTTCTCCTTAGGCGGCCGCCTAATGTGCCGAACCCTAGATCCGCCACTGATCATTTTTAAAGTTGTCTCATAAGATTGTATTATTATATTATAAGATTTAATTTTATGCTAATCACAAGTTTTCAATTAAATTTTTATGTAAGTGATATTTCACAATGACAATGACTTGTTAGCCAAAATATAAATAGAAACCTTATCTCTTCAAAGTTTTTAATTCTTTGATTTGTAATATATTCTAAATAAACTATGACTATATACTCAAATTTAAAAAATATTAAAAACACCTAAACGAAAATGTATATTTAATCATAAAAATTTACTTGAAACAAAGTAAATCTAAAAAAGTTCAAAGCTTCGCACCTCTTGACGCAGTTTTAAAACTTATTACTTTTTAAACAAATGAAAACAAATATGACCTCAGAACAAGTGCTACTGCACTTGTTCCGAGGTCATATTTAATAATTATCTAATGACTTTTTGCACTGGTTATTTCAGTACCTGGTTATTTTGATACCAATCTTGCCTATTAATTACAAATGAGCTTCTTGTTTTATATTTGTGATTAATAAGAGAGAAATTTTGATAAAAATATTTTGGTATTTTTTTAATGTTTAAGCATAAATAACAAACTATGGTAAATATTCGTAAACGTTGAAAAATTTTCTTGAGGCGCTTTTTAATCTATCTGCTCTCAAAACAAATCGGCTCGCTTGTTTTTCTTTCGTATTAAATATTTTTAAGTCAAATTTTTATGAATTTGTATAAATGAATAGTAAAAACTTTTTGAAACACATTTTATCCAAAAGATGTTTTGTTTTGTACACCCAGAGTTTTTGAAACCAATTATATTCAATTTTTCCAATTTAAATGTTGGTTTAAAATTATTTCAAGTGTTTCCATTAAAAAAACTCTTTATTTTAATATTGTTTATCGTTTACTTTAAATTTAATTGGAAAGTTCAAGGATTTAAACGGTTTTGTAAGCAAATTATTTTTGTCAATATACTACTTAATGACAGTTGCTTGCTGTAAAACACTGATTAAGATTCGTTAGCTTTGTGTTTACAACTTTGTTAATCTGTTAAATTTGAGTCTGAATAATGTTATCAGCATTGATAACATTAACATTGATAACAGTATTGAAATTTATTTGCTGTTAAACTCTTTTGAACATCGTTGTTTAGATAATGTTTCCAGCTGAAAGAAATATATTCTTGATAGTGGCTGATTCAGCATAACGCGTAGGGGGAACTGCAACTTCTCCCTCCTACAACCATCCCCCCGCGCGTGCGTTTCATAAGCCGGTCAACTGGCGCCCCTTCATAAAAAAAATTCTGCATTTATTTTAAACGGAAATAGAAAACTTAGTAAGACAAACTACAGCTTACATATCTGATTAACAAATTTGCACGCAGAAAACTAAGCGGAGACGTTTCGTTTGAAGAAAATATACCTTATAATCATAATGCACATGTTCAATTTATTTTTAACATAGTTCGGTGTATCAAAACTACAGTGACAGATGTTCATAAAAATTACTTTACAAACGGTAAACGACATTTTTTTAAGGAGAAAAATAAAAAAAAAGACGTACTTAATAGTTATGATAAAAGGCACGTAAAAGCATCAATAAAGTATATTTATTATTACTACGATTCTACGAAATGTTTCTAGGGATTAATGTGTCACTCCAATCCTTGTCGCTCCTACTTATTTCCCTAAACCCCCTCCTCCCCACGACACTTCAATCTGCCACTGGTTCTTGAGAGGCTGCAACAAGACAAGATCCTGTCAAAACCAATGTGTTGATTAATATATTGATACATAATATCAATATATTGAATAGCCGTGGCGCAGTGGTTTCGCACTTGCCTCAGAAACACAGGATCCGTGATTCAAACCCAACCTATGGTTACGTTTTACGACATCGGTTAGGAAGGAGGCGTGAACTTCCTATTAAATTCTTTTCCGCGGTGCTCTGTGATAAGGCCGTGAGGACTTCTTGGGGCACCTAAAACAATAATAATAAAAGTTATTGATTCTGTATATCGATCGATTCGTAAGAATATGATTGCTCTGATTCAAAGATTTGTTTTTTTTTTTTTATTTGTTTAATTTTGACGTTAGCTTTCTTAAAAGTTGACATCTTGAAAATTTAGACCTTGATTTGTTTAATTTTGACGTTAGCTTTCTTAAAAGTTGACATCTTGAAAATTTAACAGGTTTTATTACAATAAACTTCAACCTTTATTCAAAACTTTCTTCTGAGAAAATTCTCTTCTGAGATATGTTTTATTTTATCGACTAGCACATACTGTTGTATAGATATATTGAACCGATTCAATCAAGAATATATCAGTTTTTAAATAGGGAGCCCAAACAGTGACAGCATATTCTAGATGTCACCTTATAAACACTTAATATGATTTGAGAACTGTATTTTTATCGATATGAATGTCTTTTTTCAGCATACCAAGTATTGTAGAGATTTTTGAATGAGTAATTTGTGCTTTAATTAATATCAGACGTAAAAATGACTCGTAATTCACACTCTGCAGTAGATCTACTTAGACATTGACGTATTGATTATTCATAACTCTGGTTCTTTATACTTGTAAAAAAAATTTTAGTTATTCTAATTTCTTTATAAACTTGATTTCTCTAACTCTTTTTTAATTAGAATATTATTAATTTAACTCAATTTATTTATAAGTTAAACTATATTAAAAATAAATGGGTTTAAAATGTAATTTTATTTTACGATTAAAAAGGTTTTAAATAACCGTTTATAATCAGGTTTGCTTTATTGTGTGAGCAATGTTATCAAACGACATCACAAACAAAGGTAGTTAACAGTTATGTTAGTTTATCAGTAATGTTAATATTGTTATCTTAGAGATTGATGCATCTCCATGACATTGTTTTATTTAATACAGATATTACTTCTGACTTATTCGTATTCTTACGTAATTAGTCATATTCTAATTATTGGTTTTGCCCAATCCATAGCAGCTAAGATAAGCAGTAGGGATAGCTTTCGAAAATAACGTTTCAAAAGTAGAAAAGAACTTTTAAACTTCTTGACTTTCTTTTGCAGTTTGTGGAATTACTACACTTACACAAGTAAAACCTTACAAAAACAGTAATCCAAGAGCTCTTTTGACAATAATTCAGGAACTGTAATCGAATACTCTGAAAAAGCTTGCTTTGGGAAAAATGTTTAACATTTGATAACAATATTCTTTGGTGAAGATGTTCAACATTTGTTGACAATAAGCTTTGGGGAAGATGACTAAAGACAATATTTGTTAGTAGAGGTGTAATAGAAATGTTTGTAATAGGTGACAATATTTGTAATAGAAATGTTTTTTAATCTAGACATAAAATCAAAATGTCAAGATCAAAAAAACATATATTATTAGAAAAAAAAGGTACTATGAAATAAAAAAAAGATAACAACCTTTTATATATTTAGTTATTTGTTTAAATATACTTAGTATAATTATATACAAAATTCACTTTAATTTAATTTATTTTGTCGAATAACGTAACCATAAAATTATAAAGAAAATATCCTAATAAAATATTTCAAATAAAATTAATAAATAAAAGAATACATAAATAAATAAGTGAAAAAATCGGGCATCTAAATCTCCCAGTTGTTAAAAATATCGTTAAAAAGTGAAAACGCGAATAACAGCTAAAATTCATCGTGTACGAATAACTAAAAAAACAATAACTTTATATTAAAACTCATCGTGTACGAATAACTAAAAAAACAATAACTTCATATTAAACTTATAAATCATATAAAGCTTATAAATTTTTTCAAATTAATAAAAACTTTTTATATAAAAGTATTTACCAAGTAGTTATAGATAACGATAAAATAGTTCGACTAAATATACTAAATAAAGCAAATGATATTTATACTTTATACGTTTTTATAAAAATTTTTATGATTTAAATTTCTTATGATATCTATCTCTTATGATCTATCATATCTATCTCTTATGATCTATCATCCAGTTTAAATTTCTTATAATATCTATCTCTTATGATATTTATGTCAGCTATCATCCAGTTTCTTATGATATCTCTTATGATATTTATGTCAGCTATCATCCAGTTTCTTATGATATCTCTTATGATATTTATGTCAGCTATCATCCAGTTTCTTATGATATCTCTTATGACATTTATGTCAGCTATCATCCAGTTTCTTATGATATCTCTTATGATATTTATGTATCCAGTTTCTTATGATATCTCTTATGATACTTATGTATCATCCAGTTTAGAACCTTTTATTTTACAGTGATTGTTCCTACTTGCTCTGAATAAACATCGTAAGTAAAAATACTTGCATTATTAAAAAAATATTTTTTGTAATTTATTAGTTTAATAAATAACAAAAAAAAACAAAAACATACACTTTCAGAGACTCGATTCAGCAGATCAGCAGGGTATTCATAATTTAAAAGTGTATTCCTAATATGCCTTGTAGGTGTATTTAAAAACACTTTGTTTTTGAAGTCTCTGAATAATTATTTGTTAAATTTTTAGCATCATTGGTTATTTCTATCAAATCCCTCCTTATATATATTTTTTTCTATGAAAAAATCTTAAAAGGTTTCATTTGTCAGATAATTCGTCATGTTGGCTCAAAGGTAAAGAAAACAAATTTTAAAAACAATAAAAACTTAAAAACATTCAGACATACCATTTCATCAGGGACTTCAGTTTTTTTATTAAAATCACCACCCTTGGAATTACTAGATCCTAGATTTAATGATGCAATGTGATATTCCAATAATTGGGAGCACATATCAAATAAATAATTTGTATCTTGAGATTCTAGTGCTGTTCCAGTGATAGGCTACAAAAAGTGTAAAGTAAAACAAGTTATTAAAAATTGAAAAGTTAAAGTATTTTAAGAATAAAAAAAATATTTGAATTAAAATCTTTAGGACCAGAACTCATATTAGTATCAGTATAAGAATCACCTTACCTGACTTGTTCCTTCTTGAGTTCGACCTTCATAGAAGCGAAGTGAAGGGTAACTGCGAATTCCAACATCACGACACAAAGTGTAGTGTTCTTGACAATTAATTTTCGCAGTTTGAATAGCTTTTTCATTAAAAAGGCGCTAAATAAAGATTTTTTTATTAAATAATACAAATTACATTTTTATTGAATCAACTGATGCCACAATATTACAATAATTATTATTAATAGAACCATTTAAAATAAAATATCTGCATTTTTTCTAGAATAAAAAATAAATTGACTACTAGCCAATTTCTATATGACATTTTTAAGACACTAAGTCACCCTAAGAAATTTTATATTCAAAATAAAATTTATTATGATATTCACTCAATAAAAATTTTTAAATTTTAACTTTTGCAGACAACTTGATAAATCTTGTTTAAAACTTTATTAATGTTTATAATTAAGGGTAAGCAAAAAAGCTTTGTTGACCAATCTTGCACTATTTCCTCATCTAATAAGCTGGCATAGATGTAAAACTTGTGTTACATTGTTTCCTGCCTATGATGATGTATCTTGGACCTTCTTGACTCTACTCATGGGTTGTTGCTTGCATCTCCTTGATAGTGGCTTTAAACTCTTTCAGTAATCACCTACTGAGAGATTAGGGTACAGCTCTAAATTCAGTTTAATGCTTCTGAGGCCAGCTGGCAGTAAGGTTTTCTAAACTGAGGTAGCTCTAAGAGAGATTGCATTAACAACTGTATAATATCAGAGTGTTAACAGTGCCATGTTTTGTATTTATAGTGTTAATGCTTTAAATGTACATTGTCAAGGCCACAGGAATTAGAAGAAATGAGCCAACCGCATGGCTTATGGCTTAGAGTGTTACGCACTATTTGTCAAGTTCTAATGTATAAAGTACCTCAAAACATTAATAGTTAAAAAAACACATCATTACCACCAAATTGTTTCAATCTATCCTTTTGCCAACATTGTTTCAATCTACCCTTATTTTACCACCAAATATTTTAATCTATACAAGAATTTGTAGTCTTTAAAGTAACTTTTCATTCATTATATTTTATATATAAATTATACTTTTTCCAGATAACGATCTTAGAAAAGCATTCTCTAGAACTTTTTTTCTTGAACGGTAAAGCTTTTTAAATTATTTTTTAATTTTAACTTACATTCCCATGGCTGAAAAGTCCACTACAGATGAGGAGGCTACTTAATTGTGGTTATAACCCTCTTTCAACTCTATAACTCCTAAACACGAACCTTGACAACAAGGCAGCTGCGCAGAGAAACAAGTTGAGAATGGTAATACCAGGGACGTGGTAGGGATCAACCTCGGAATCTTTTGCTTATGAAGCGAGTGCTTGACCACAATACCACTACCATCTTGATACTGATTGCTCTTGATATACCAAAGACTTACGATAAAGTCTGGCATTCTGGTCTTTTCCATAAGCTCACTTTATATGGTGCATCTGGGAAAGTTTTAACAAAAAAAACTTTATTTACTACTGATATTTACTGCTAATATTTATCACAATAATGAATGCCAACTTGTTGGTATTTCTATATTGATGAATGCCAACTTAATGAGAGTGAATTTTTTAAATTCAAAAATCATTTTATTCAGCATTTTATTTATAAATAAAATTTTATTCAATTTATAAATAAAAAAACTTAAAATAAAGTATTTATATAATAAAAAAAACTAAAAATAAAACTAAACTAAAAATAATAAAAAAAAAACTTTTTATGATTTAAAAAAAATTTGATTTTAAAAATTCATTTAATCAAAAGTTTTTTAACAAATCAAAAACTATAACTTAAACTAAATATACCTTCCCAAGTTGTATTTTACACTACATACCTTCCCAAGTTGTTTGAAATGTGGTGCAAATGTTGTGCAATGGGAGCACCAAGGGGTGTAAAAGTCTACCAACCAAGGTTCATCACTGTTTAATATTGTGTAAAAGTCTATTTCGCTAAACTCTTTTACAACTGTAGGAAAGTATTCAACTGCCCAAATGTACATTGAGTTAAAATCTCTCCAACCATTGTAATGACTGAAAGAAATTTAAAAAAATAAAGAATTACCTAAGAATGTTTTTGAACACTAATTTTTTTTACAAAAAATAATTACTTTAAAAAATTACTAAAGAATTACCTTAGAATGTTTTCGAACAATTTTTTTGTACTTGTTATTCATATATTAAAATATAACACATGAAAAATATAAACTTTCATAAATAAGATTTTAAACCAACACAAAATTTTTAATCCTAGTCTTTCAAATTTTATATTATTGGTTTCAACTTTTTTAAAAGAATTTATTTTAGAAAAATTAATATATTATCTTAAAGTCCATGCAAAAAACCCTGATTTATTAGTGGTGTATGGATATACTAAGATGTTTAATTTTTAGCTTTGAATTCTTCTTTAACCCAATAAAACTATTTAGGCACATTACCCATCTAATTAATACCCTGACCCACATTATATTAGATCTGGAGCCTGGAACAGTAAATGACTGAGGCCCTTATTAAATATGAATCTTGTTACAATCCTGATTATAACTAAAATATAATGTAAAATATAATGTATAATACACAATGTATTAAATCCTTTTTACTTATTTACTTACTGTATAAGAAACTTGATAAAAGGTTACCAATTACCTTGCAAACTTGGTAAAAATTTATGTTTACCTCCAAGCTATAAGCTACAAAACTACAAAAGAACGAAAGTTTAAAGCTTAAAAATTAATACAAAAAGAACATATTAGACTTCTACAAAGAATGTGGAAATACTTTTTTTTTAAATTTAAGAGTTCTTTCTTATGCTACATCTTTATGAAGAGCTCCTGAAGACTTTCACCTAATTCAAACTATTATGATATCCTGAAGACATTATACCATTTAGTTCTAATATTATGACATCATGAAGACTTTATACCACCTAATTTACACTATTATGACATCCTGATAAATTTTTACTACCTAATTCAAACTATTATGACATCCTGAAGACTTTGTACCACCTAATTCAAACTATTATAATATCTGGGATTGAAATTTTATTCACATAATCTTTTATCCTTTTTTCCCCCTAAAATCTCAAAACAAAACAGAATAGTCTAACATCTTAAAACAAAACAGAATAGTCTAACATCTCAAAACAGAACAGAATAGTCTAACATCTCAAAACAGAACAGAATAGCCTAACATTTCAAAACAGGTAAGCAAGTATATAATCAAATCTGAATAAATCAAATCAAAATTCAAGAAAAACTTATTTTAAAAACTAAAAAACAGAACAGATTTTATTTTATTATAATTATATGTTTAATAAAAATTAAACTTTCATTCAAATCAAACTTTTATTTGCTTTGTTGTGTAAATATGTAATTTAAGTGGTCATAAGCCTCCTGTTTATTTTTCTCATTCATTTCTCATTATTTTTTTTTGAATTCTAATTTTTGTAATAGAATAACCTATTGTATCAAAAGTGGTCTGTAAATAAACAAATTCACAATTTAGAAAATTTTCTAAAGATAACAAAAAACTATAAACTTGAATATTTTGACATATTCAAGTGATTTTCTTATTATTTGTGTCTTTTGAAAAGCTGCTTTTGTTGTTGTTATATCTTTTAGAAAACTTATTATTCTAACTGTTTTCTTTTTTATTTTGCAAGATTAAAGTTGAGAAAACAAAATAAAAAAAAATAAAAAAATGATTTTTAATTCTTAAACTACCTTTTAACAATTTTAATTTTAATTTTTTAAAAGATTTAAAGTGACAATAATACAACATTTTTTTCAAAAATAAGCTCTGGCTTCATCTTCAATCTCATAACATGAAAAATATATAATTAAAACAATTTCAAATTTAAAAACTTACACAAAATTCTCATGACCTTCTGTGTAATGTGGAAGCAGTCTTATTGTTGGATAACTTGTGATTCCAACTGATTGACAAAAAAAGCGATGTTCATCACAGTTTATTTCTCCAACTAATGCTTCTCCTTTTAGTTTCTAAATGATTTTTGCAGTGATTTGAATAAAGTTAAATGTATGTTTATTATTAAAAAACTAATAAATCTTACTTTTGCTAGTTTTGAATAGGCTGGTGCCATTTCATTACAAGGATGACACCATGGAGCATAAAATTTTAATATCCACGTTTTTCCAATTGGTTTGACTTTAATTTCTGCATTGAAAAACTCTGGTGTTATATGTATAACAGGTGGGCTTTTTATGTCCTAAAAGTAAAAATATACAACAATTAATAACAAAAAATTAACTAAAAACCCATCTAAAATGATTTTATGTTTTTATAGCTTTTATACAAGGAAAAAAAAAGTTTTTTTTTGAAAAGGTTTTTTTAATATTACTTAAATAACATATAACCTCTAGAAATATTGTATCATATAAAAAAAATTATTTAATAAGGATAAAGTTAAACAACCATAATCAAATGGTTTATTTTTATCTTATTTAAGACAACTTTTCCAAGATGTTAACATAAAAAAAAAAACTATTATATTCCAATTACATTTATGAATTTGTTATTATTGTTTTAATTATAAAATAATACTGAGAAACAGAAGCATTAAAAAAAAGGCACGATGATAAGGTCTCTATGTAAAAATAATTAATTGAGCTTTTAAAAACTGATTCTGATACCAAATATCTACCATAATAAAATTAAAACATTATCTATCCTTACTAGATGCAAGCTCTACCATCAGCTTAGTTCAATATTTTTTTAAGGAAAACCTTCTGAATAATGGTGGTGCCATGAAAAGTGTCTTTTATGAGATTAAAAAACCTGAGTTTCTGTCATTAAGCTAAAACAGACAGGACAGTTTTTTGTGTTTTGAGAAAGTTACAGTAGTAATTTCAGAATAAAAAGCTTGTAATACTTTTAATTTTGATTTCTAATGATAAAAGCTGTTTGAAAAATGCTTTGACTTTTTTCTTCAAGAATCTCTATTTATTTTTATTATAGAATTCTTTAATACCCCTTATAGATTATTCAAGTCTTTTAAAAAACTGTTCAGCATTATTTTGGAAGGTATAAATCGTTTTTAACTTTGAGATAATTCTTAATTGTCTAAATTATGTTTTAAGTATTACATTTAAACAATAATGAAGGTCTATAAAAAGTTACTTCCCCTGTATTTGTGTTCCTATCCACGAGATCAAGGAGGGGGCAGCCAAGAAAAAATACCTTTTTTGATAAAAAATAACTTATAATTGATTGTACCACCCACATGGGCCAGTAGGCAGATTTGTGGGGCACTAGTTTCCAATAACACATTCAACGATTGATTATTAAAAAAAAGGGTTATTTAAAAATCCTGGCATTATTGGTGTGAATTTGACAAGTTTATGTTTGAACTTTTAGATAGGTCTAATGTTCTTATATGTTGTTAATCTTAGATCAAAACAAAGTGTTACCAGTGTTAATCTTAGATCAAAACAAAGTGGCTGAAAATTGGACATTTTAGGCCAATTGATAATATACTTTTAGATATATTTGATTTCTAAACTGCAACAAGGTGCCTATATTTTGCCCATTTATTGCAGACAGTCGTAGCTAATCAGAAAACTTACTTGTAAAGGTTTATATTTGAATAAAATACTACATTTAACTTCATTTTGACATATTTCAGCAATTTTCAGATTTTTTCCAAAGTTGAGATCATAATTTTTTTCTAATATGAAATCGTTAATAAAATAAAATAAAAACAATTTTTTTTTAAATTGGAACTATCCAGTAAATTGTTCTAGAAAAAATGAGAGACTTGTTGAAAATGAGAAAAAAGTACTAAAGTAGTCTATTTTGAACATTTGTAAATTGAAGGGGACCACTGTGTCGTGTTTATAAGGCTATAATTTCTGAACCGACTTAGTATGTACTTGTAAATGAATGTATGTACTTAGAAGTCTGAAATTTTAAATTTAACTTATCTACATAATGCACATAATAACCCTTTTTCTTCCTGCATTTTTAATGCAAAGCTTTTTAAAGAAATAAAAACTAGAGAAAAAACTAGACAATAAAATGATAAGTTTTTTTTTATTAAATAAGTTTTTTTAATCTTTTGTTATATTTACCTTTATTGGTATTGATATATTTGAAGTAAGAATGCTTTTTATTTTGTTTTCAATTTAACTATGTTGAGTTGTTTTATACTTTAGATAATAAAATTTAAAAAAGAACCACAATGAAATATATAAAAAACAGATTGTTTTTATATATACTTTTTTGGGTATATTTAATATAAAATATAACCATTATATTTTAAATACTTTTTTTTAATTTTATAATAGTGTTTTGTTAAGTTTAGTTAGTTTTAACATTTTGTAAGTTTTTTTTGAAATTTATTTTAGGTTACTATGCAGTTTATTTGTATATTATAAACTAAATTAAGCCCTACCATAGCCCAAGTTCTGACTGCTAGTTAGCAGTATTAATTCATAAGTTCTGTCTTAAAGAGAGGGACATGTCTTTTTTTTGCTGACTAACAGAAGAAAAAGATTATCATTTACTGACATTTGCCAACTGCCATCTTAAATTTCAAACTTGTTAACTGCGGGTTCAAATTTGGCAGCAAATTTTATTCAAAAGTTAGCTAAAGTTTTTGTAGGGGGTTAGACACCTCCTTACACCACTCCTCTAAAGACGGTCCTGTTAATACTAAATTTTCAATAAAAAATTCAATAATTTCAGACAAATTTAAAATCTCTATTGAAACTTAGTAAGGTTTTTTAAGCAACTTTTTTAAGTTTTAAAATATCAACTTAACAAAAACTTGGGAAAAAAACCTTCTAACCAAACTTATAAAAAATAAAAATAGAGCAGTAGAGAAGTTTATTCTTTCTTTTTACTATGCTATCACTGTAATCGAAAATTATAGTCTTTATTCTAACTTTGGAGATAACTTGACAAAGGCTCTTAAATAAATAAATCGTGTCATTGAGATGGATTTACAAATTTTTTTTTTTAAATGTAAAAGTTTAAAACAAATAATATATATTGGATTTAGGCATAAGAAACACTATTTGTTTTTTTGTTTCATTTCTATTTGTTATTTTGACAAAAATATTCGAAAAAAAGCCAACTTACTATAATTGAAAATCTCTTTAATTCAAACTTTTATTTTTCCCCATAAAATTATAAAAATCTCTTTATTTCGAACTTTTATTTTTCCCAATAAAATTAGAATTAAAGATATTGTACTGAAGTTCCTTATCCTACCTTATTATAATAAGATCAGACTTTGAATTTGAGGGAATGTTAAACTTATTTTTGTGGATCACAAACAATGGGTGATTTGATATATAAATATTTCCACAAAGAGTTATTAATCGATTTGCCTATTTGTTGTCGATGGCAATTATCTATTAATTTATTGAGTTGCAATATTGTGCAGTGCAGTGATTAATCAAATTCGTTGGAGTCCTTTTTCTTTTTTATATTTTTTATTAAATTGTTTTTTTTAATTGTTGTTAATATATTAGTAATAATAAACATTAATAAAAGACACTGCAGTTAATAAATAGTTAAGTAATTCAGTTAATAAATAACTTAAAAGTGTGTAATATTAATTAAGTGCATTTATTTGTACATTTATAAACTGAATTATTTAGGAATAAGCAAAGTAAATGAATCGACTTATTCAAAAAGTCATAAGTAAATACATATCGACTTATTCGATAGGCCCAGCAGAGTGAACATATACCGACTAAGATGTTTAGCCATAGAGGCAGCACATACATTAACTGATTTATTTAACCATTGACGCAGTGATCGTTCATTCATCACCTTTGGGTTTTGGTTAGGGAGTTAGGGTACTTGTTTAATGAGTTTTTAACTACTTTAACAAGTTTAGTTTTAACTTTTTTTTTAGTAATATTTTATTACTTTATGCTCAAAAAAGTGTTGGCTATGGCTTTAATAAATAAAATTATTTAATTAACAAAAATAAATTATTTTGTGCGTTAATTAATTAATCAATTAGTTTAGACAGCATCATCTGGTGAAACATTTTAATATTAATAATGTCTTGCTTTTAAAGAAAGGCGTTATTGTTATGTTCTTACTACAGTTTATAAAGAAAAATTTTTTTTTAACATTTGCTTTCGATCATTTAAATTGTTAATTTTAATTCTTTTTCACTTATAAACACTCATTATGTATGCATAATATATATAAGATTTATTTGCCTTCACCGGCTTCACTTCACTTCTCAAAATAAATATCATTTACAAGTGTAAAATGTTGCTAAAAACGAATGTTCATGAATTTTCTAGAATTAAATAATTAATGTATAAAATAATTAAAATACTAAAAACTACCTCTGCATATTCAATTATTTCCTCTGCTGTATGATAACCACTGAAAATATGAGCTTTACTCAAGTTATAGAATATTGATGTTGGATAAGAGTGAATGCTTAACTAAGAATAAAAAAAATAATACTTTTTTTTTTTAATTTAATTTTTACAAAACTAATATAGAAAAAGTTTTATTTTATTTAATGTGGGGCACAATTTGGTAAACTGAAAAAGTAAAAAAGTTAAAAAATAAATAAGTTAAACAAATACATAAGTTAAACAAATACATAAGTTAAACAAATACATAAGTTATTATTGAGTTATAAGAAGTAATCTTAAATATTTTAATCATGTGATGCAAATCTTTTTAAAAAAATATGATTACTTTAAACCAGTTACATTTGATCTGGTTTAAAAAAAATATGATTACTTTAAACCAGTTACACTTGATCTGGTTTTAAAAACAAAAAAAGCATGACTAAACCTTTTACTAGTATGCATAATTAAGTTCTTTCGTTTATTGCTTTTTGATCTAGCTTACAATTAAAAATATAAATTTAATTATTTTTTTATTTAAAGGCTTTTTAAGTTAATTCAATTTTTCATTTAAATTGTTTTGCAATAAAACAAAGTGAGATTTTTAAAATGAAAACAACTTGCACATTTATATAAAGAAAACCACTTACGTGTTTATACAAAAAAAAAAAACTTGCATATTTATAAAAAGAAAGCAACTTGCGTATTTATACAAAGAAAACAACTTGCATATTTATACAAAGCGTTTAATCTTGAAATCACAATAAATAATAAAAAAAATTTTAAAAATCCTAATATTTAGATTATATATTTGATTTTTCTTGTTTATTTGTATTTTTTTTTATATTTTTAGTTAGACGCTTGTTATGTGTTAACAACAGATATAACTATATGATAAAAGTAGAAACATTTTTATAGATAACTTCGACAATTAAATGTTTCTAAGCATAGAAAGCATACTAAGTATATTTAATAGTTTTTATAGAAAGCATACTAAGTATATTTAATAATTGAGTAACTTAACTGTAATAACTTGTAATGTTTTGATTTACCTAACAGTTATATTTACTGTGATGTACTTTATCCATTAAGTAAATCACACTTAATTGGTTTACACACAGAGATTTAAGGTGAAATTAGAGACAAAAACATTCTGTATTTTCTAGAAAGGCCAAAAAAAAAAAGATAAATTACAAAAGATTAGAAAAAAAAGTAAAAAAAAAAATTTGATAAAAAATACTCATTGCAAAGGTGTAAAAAGCAATTGTGATTTGCTCAATTTGAATGCTACAAATTGCAAAATTTTAAAGTTAATTATCATGCAATATAAATTTCCAATTTTTATGCAACTATTTTGTATCACTGTTGTCATGGTAATAATAAATTTTATTATACTTATCATAGTAATACTATAAACGTAAGAGAATTTTTATCAGATGTTAGCTATTTTTAACACTCCTTTTTTAGAATAATAAAACACTTTCCTAAATGAGAAAGTTAAACTATTTTTATGACACAAAAATCAACAACTGAATATAAGAATACTAACAGATGTTAATTGTAGTATATAAATAAAGGATACTTTAGCATATTGACTAAAGTTGTTATGCATTTATTATAGTATTAGCATTTTATAGAAACCATGATATTGTTTCATCTTTATTTTCAAAAACTCATTTTTACATTTTTTGATTGGTCATTTTGATTTTCAAAAACTCATTTTTACATTTTTTGATTGGTCATTTTGATTTTCAAAAACTCATTTTTACATTTTTTGATTGGTCATTTTGATTTTCAAAAACTCATTTTTACATTTTTTGATTGGTCATTTTGATTTTCAAAAACTCATTTTTACATTTTTTGATTGGTCATTTTGATTTTGCACCTTTAAAGTTATAGCTCCTTTTCATCACTGAATCTGCTTCTTGATTTTTTCCTTTTCTTTTATTTTCTTCTTTTGTCTCTTTTTGTTGCTTATTTTAGCTTCATCTTTTTTCTTACATTTCTAGGTGATATTTTAGGAGTCAAATATACTTTCCATAATAATAAATGTCATTTTCTTTACTAGATGACAACTTTTTGTGATGATACTAGATTTATTCAATTTTAGAGAACTTGTTACTTGATTTTGTTGTATTATTGAGAACTTGTTACTTGTATTGAAAATATAGTTGGTTCAAATATTATTTTGTTTTTATTAAATATAAAAACTGTTGAACAATTTTTTAATTTTCAAGTATTATTTAAAATAACAAAAACAACTTTATACCAGACTTTTTTTCATCAATGTATATAGTTACCAAGATAACATTATGGATTGATACAACTTAACCAATATTTTTAATTTTAACCAAAGTGTAACCAATTTTTTTAATTTTTTTTCTAGTTAATAATGTTATAGAATAAATTAGAGGGCAAAGGCACCATTTCTTATAATTTGTCATTTTGTTAATCAACATTCTGTTACTAAAGTGATTCCAATAAATCATTGCTTTACTAAAATTTGATCAAAGTAAAGTTTTTATATGAGTAGCTAACCATCTATTATTAAATTATAATGTGCATTATTCACCTCTCACAATAATGGACATTATTAACCTCTCACAACAATGAGCATTATTCACCTCTCACAGTAATGTGCATTATTCATCTCTCACAACAATATGCAATATTTATTTTCCACAACAATGTGCATTATTTACCTCTCACAACAATGTGCAATATTTATTTTTCACAACAATATGCATTATTTACCTCTCACAACAATGTGTGTTATTCATCTCTCACAATAATGTACATTATTCACCTCTTACAACAATGTGCATTATTCATCTCTCAATTGAGTGCATATATTTAATTATAAATGATTAAATATATGCGATTTAATATTTACAAGCAGATTTAATATTTATAAGCAATAAAATAAAACATAACAAATATATGCTAAGTATTATTTAATAGCAATAAAATAAAGAATATTTAATTAAAAAAGAAAAACTTTTGGTAATTTAATACATAAGAAATACATTACATTTGATATGCAACTAATATACATTTGATAAATATTGGTATAATAAATAAATAAACTTAACTTTTTTAATGTTATATTTAAGAGTAAAAATAAAGTAAAAATTAAATCTTTTTTTGTTTCTATACTGATAATAACCTTAACACAGAGCTGATGATGAACCGTACAGTCAACAGTACCAAAATGTGCAAGTTTACCACCAATAAGTTTGCCAGCTTTACGCCATTCTGGAAGTAATTTCATGCAAGGTGGACACCACTGTGTAAAATATATTTAATCAAACATGAAAATTAAAGCAACTTACAACTTTATAACAAATTTTAACTTGAATAAAATAGTGCTTACTGGGGCAAAAAAATCTATAAAAAAACTCTCGGAGCTTTGTGATATTTTCAAGAAATCATCTGGACCCATTACTCTTACATTTGATGCCAGACTTTCACGGGCAAAGTTTGCAAGATCATGTGCAAACATACGACCTAAAAATAGTTAAAAAAATAAAAGCTAATAAAAGTTGATTGAATAATTAAAAAATAATAATAAATATTTAACACTAAATTTATTGAAATAACTAACTTTGCTAATAAGCAAATAGTTTATTATAAGCTTAAAATATACTTCAACATAGTGCAAAGCATCTTCTGTATAAATTGTTGCACCAAGTACAAGAGCAAGTTATAATGCTAACATATTGATTTTTAAAACATTTGTTAAAAGATAAACTTTTAAGTCAAAATTTTGTTTGTTGCTAATGTTGTTATATTTATATTGTATTATTATCAGTGGTTAATTTGCAGGGAAATGGAGGGGAACAACATTCCTTTACTTCCTTTAGGACAAGCCAATCATACCCTCACTTCAAAATTGGCATACTATGCGTTCCGGGATGGTATTATTTATTTATTTTATAGTTCTGCATGCAAAGCGACGCCTCGCTTCCGCTCTAGTTTAACCCTTTGACTGTGGCTTTCCCGTTGAAGTGCGGCAATCAAAGCTTTTAAAACTGATATCACAAACTATGACCTTTATCGCAGAAATATCGTGTTTTGTAAAATATAAATGGTACCACTGAGTAGTGCACATTTTCTTCTTTCTTTTGATATATTATTTGTATATGTTTTTCTGTGAAAATGAGAAATAACGAAGACACTTATAAGCATGAAGAAAACTCTACTAGCAAAGAAAACATTAGTAGTAGTGATAATAGTTTTTTTGATGAAGAAACAAGTTTATTTATATAATATTTTCATCTTAACTTTATGTTAATAACATAAAACTTATATTTTGTAAACATATAGTTGTATATAAACATATAGTTGTATGTAAACATATAGTTATATATAAACATATAGTTGAATATAAACATGTAGTTGAATATTAACATATAGACTATATGATAATATTCAACTACATGCTTATATTTAACTATATGTTTATATACAACTATATGTTTATATACAACTATATGTTCATTTGCAACTATGTTTATATACAACTATAAAAAATATGTTTATATACAACTATGTTTATATACAACTATAAAAAATATGTTTATATACAACTATATGTTTTTATACAATTATATTATAGTTGTATATAAACATATAGTTGTTTGAACGTTAACATATAGTTGTATATAAACATTTAGTTGTACATAAACATTTAGTTGTTTATAAACATATAACTGTATAAAAAGGATATAATTCTATTTAAACATTTAGTTGTATATAAAAATTTAGTTGTATATAAGCATAATTATATAAAAAACATATAGTTGTATTTAAACATATAGTTGTATTTAAACATTTAGTTGTATATAAACATTTAGTTTTATATAAAAATATTATTGTATATAAGCATATAGTTGTATATAAACATAAAGATGTATTTGTTACAATCTTATAAAATTATAAATTATAAAAAAATCTCAAATTTTTTTTTTTTTAATTTCCTGTTTTTTTAGTTGAATTTTCTAAAAACGGCTTTTAAATTTATCGAGCAGCCAAAGGAAAGGATTAATTCACTTTTTATTTATAGAGCGATATGTTCACTATGTCCTTGTTTATGCTTTATATAGTTGCTATGAATCACTCTGCTCACTAGCAGCGCTCACATGATTTGATAGTATATCTATCAAATATACTATCAAATCATGTGTCCACCAAAAATGTAGCATATTTTCATGTCTTTGTATTGATAAAGTCTGTTAAAATGTCTCTTAAAAGAAAAGCAAATTGTACATTATCGGACTTTAGATTCAAGAAAAAAATTGCAGGTTAGTTATATAAATTTCAAAAGATTTTGTAATTCGCCGATCCCACTATAGATAAATTTTGCAATGCATTGTATGTAAATTGTGTAAATTGTGGTAAATGTATGCAAAATAATACATATGTTTAGTTAGTCTATCAAGAGGTTTAGAGTCAGAATTCAAAAGGTTAGGTTGTAATTTGCATTCACATTGTATTTTCTTGTTTGCAGTTGACCCTGAAGTTGTAGATCCGACACAGCACTCTGTTCGACTGAACAGAGTGCTGTGTCGGATGTTAAAGAACCCACGTCACTGACGTTAGAAATTCCGTCTGAACCGACTTTATTTATTCTGTCAGCCGAAGAGTTCGTCATGGAAGTTATGGAACCAAACTTACCTTGGCCATCATACTGGTCCAACAAGCAATATAACAACTTTACGGCAGATTACTCTTGGTTAGTTGTTTCAAACGGAGCACTTGGCTGCTCTGTATGCAATCGAGCAAAGAACATAAATAGTAGCATACTGAAGACACAGGGTGTTGAACTGTCAGAAAAGTGGATGATGACATTCATCAAACCATACAGCGATAACCGCGATAAACAACAATTATCTCTGCGGAAAAAAATCATACAGCACAAGAATTTTCAAGCACATATTGCGGTTGAAAACATTTTCAAACAAGCTGAAAAAAATTCATTTCAAGAAGTAATGGCAAACAAGCAGCAAAAGAACTTCATCATAACAGAAAAAGTGTTCAGGACAGCATACAAAGAAGCCAAGTCAAATAGACCTTTCACAGACTGCCCTGTCGATATTGAAGTCCAGCAACTAAATGGTTTGGACATGGGAAATATTTTACACTCAAAAATAGCTTGTGGAAATATCTGCAGGTTCATCGCTGATGGGAATCACAGTACCCTCATTCGAAACATCCAGGAGAATAATCGGCGTATTTCCATATTAATAGATGAATCTACAACACTCAGCACTGAAGTTCTTATAATCTACATCAGAACAATCATCAATGAAAATGAGCCACTGACAGTTTTCCTTGATCTCATTCCTATACCTTTGACATCTGGTCAAGCGATAACGGATGCACTACTGCTATGCTTAGGCCAACATGGATTTAACCATGAGTACTTAAGTACCAAGTTACTTGCGTTTTGTTCTGATGATGCATCAGCTATGCTAGGAAGAAAAAGTGGGGTAGCCACATTGTTGACAAATAAATATCCAGGTCTTTTTGTGTGGCACTGCATGGCTCACAGACACAAAAATGTGCTTATAGGGCTCACTGCCCCATAAGCACATGGGGCAGTGAGCCCTATAATTTGTAAGGCTGTGAGCCCTATACATTTGTAAGGCTGCAGAGGATAAAGCAAGGGACTGCAAAGATAGGGCAAAGTATGCAAGTTTACAAAAACAGTTAAATACCCCCAACTTTCTTCTAAACCTTGCTTTAATGTATGATGCTCTTGAAGAGCTGTCGGAGCTATCACTCAAATTGCAATGAAGTGATATACAACTATACAAAGCACATAAAGCAATCGTGAGACATCAGGATTTTTGAAGCAATGTCTAACAATGGCACTCACTTGCAAATTGCTTTATCTGCAGTAAAAAATAAAAGTTACAAATCAGTGCCACTTCGAGAAAATGACAAATGCAACATTCAAATAAATCCATTACAGTTTTATGCAAGTTTAAAAAACAATTTAAGTAACAGATTGTTAACTACCCACAACAGCCATGCTTCTTCAGTCTTCGTAGATACAATGAAAAGTAATTATATGGAATTTTTGGAAGACCTTAGAGTCTTTTATCCTGAAAATTGGCCACAGCCTGATGGCCATGATGGGCAGCTGGATTTAGGTTATGGCAGTGATTCCATTAAAGCTTTGACTCGTCGCTTCCAGTTGGACAAGAGATCAGTTGTACGGTCATATAGAGAGTACCTGGATAGTAAGTCTACACCTTCTTCGATTCAAAAACTGAAAACTCTAGTTACCTTAATTCCTGTATGCACAGCCGAATGTGAGCGAGGTTTCAGTCAGATAAATTTAATTTTAACACCTGCTAGAAATTCCCTTAACACAAATTCAATAAGTGCTTTGTTGTTTATTAAACTTAACCGCCCTCTCCTTAACCTATATAACCCTCAAAATCATGTCAAAAGATGATTTGCAGCAGGTAGGCATCTGGCTACAGATGTATATAGTAAAAAATCATCTCAGCCTAGTGATGACTTGAGTGGTACTAGACAGCAGGAGCTAAACTATGTTTGGAAATTGTATCAGTGAGTATGTAGTATATGTACTTTCATCTGTAATAAATACATTGTTTACTTATTTTCTCAACATAGAGCTTGATATATAATTTAAAAAACAAGGAACAAGGCGCAACATGCGCTTTGTTCCTTGTTTGTTAAATTATAATTTATAAATACCAAAATGACAAAAATGGCATACATGGTTATTTGTTCATAGAAATAAAATAAAAAAATGATTTTTCATCGTGACAAAATTAAAATGAAAGTACCCTTTCCAGATCCATGAGAAGCCACAAAATACCCTAAAAACTGCGTAAAATCCATTAGCGAATAGGGCTTTGCCCAAGACCCTGCTGGGGGAGATTACAGAGCTCCCCACACCCCTAACTGGTGGGAAGGAGTCTCATGCCCTGCCCAAGAACCCCTCCCATTTCTCTCCCCTTAAACTGCACCTTGCCTAGGACCCTGTCTACAGTTCCCCTACTTCTTTTTTCCCAAATTAATCACTGAGTATTATTTATTTACTTTGCTTATATTTATCATAAAAAAGTCATGATTTGTAGCTACAATTTGATATGTAATATGTGGTATTTTTTTGAAAAAAAATTGGAGGGGTGTAATTTTTTGATTTCTATTATTTTATTACTTTATTCATTGTTATTATAAAATACTTGATGTGCAAGGCTTTTTTAAAAAATGACTGTATATCAGTACACAGACATTTTTTTAAAAAATGACTGTATATCATTTAAAAAATGACTGTATATATTTTAAAAAATTATATCATTTGTTACTGCTGTTATTACTGTTAAAAGCAACTCATCTAAACTCTTTTAAAAATTTAAAACTGTTTTTATTTTTTAAATTGATTTTGAAATTGATTTCATGTGAATTTCAATCAGAACAAGATTAATAAAAAAAATTTAACAGATTTTTAATATTTTTGTTCTATAAGAAAGTTTGTTCATAATGTACAAAAATTTTTTTTTTCATTTTCACTCAAAAAACTTTTTAGTTTAAAAAGAAAAAGAAAAAAATTTTATATAAAATAAAGTTACACCACATAAGCTTCAACCACATAATTTAGAACTTAATTAGAACATTAATTAGAATTAGAAGAAAATAAATTTAAAAAAAATTGTTATTAATTAAATAACCAAATAAATTATAAACCACATGAGCTCTGTTATTATTTTAAACATTTAAATTACAGTTATTTTAAAAACTTAAGTTCTTAAAATCTTAAATTAGGAATTTAAGATTTTAAGAAAACAAGTTAATTAATTAAGAAAACAAGTTAATTAATTTAGTTAATTTTAATTAAGTTTATTTTTTATATGGAAAAAAGAAGTATAATTTTTTTAACAAGTATATTATTTGTATCCTACTTATACGCACGTTTAGCCTATTTGGATAAGGCGTTGACTTTGTAAATGGAATATCTGTGGTTCGAGACCCACCTCTTCTATTTTTTTGTTTTTTTACACATGCATACACAGAATGTTAATAAAATAAAATAGAAATATCAGAAAAAATTGATTGCAAAATTTGTATTTTAGTAACCTATAAAAGCATTGGATTTTAAAATTTATTTTTAATTTTACTTGATCTCACTTCAATTACTTGATCTCACTTAAAACTACCTTAAAGCAGACTGGGACTCTTTTTGTGATTTTCTACGTGATGGCCCTTGGGTAAAAATCTTTCATTTTCCTGTTGACAAATGTGCTTCTTACATAACTTCGTGGATTCAGGCTGGCACGAAATCCTTTATTCCCTCTGGATGATTCCAGGTCAAGCTTCACTCTTCTCCATGGTTTTCTTTACATTGTGCTGCTGCAATTGTCAATCCAAACCATTACTTCCATATCTATCAGCAAAACAATTCTCCAGAAAACAGACGTCTGTTTATTACTGCTAGAAACCATTGTAAAAAGTGTCTAATGCCAAAGCCCGCTATTCTCAGGTCATGAAATCTCGTATTTCATCACAAAAATTAGGCTCTAGTGACTTCTGGAGAATCTTTAATAGTATCAATAATAAGGGCAAATCTGTAATTCCACCTCTTTTGTATGGTTCAGACTTTGTCACCTCACCTAAAGACAAAGCTGAATTGTTTGCTAAGAACTTTTCATCAATATCATCTCTTGATTCCACTAGTTGCATTCTACCTGATATAGCCGTCAAACATGTTGACCCATTGCTTGACATTCGTATCACTCCTTCTTAGCTTCTGTATCTAAAGTGATTTTCTGCTTAGACTCTTCTACAGCTTTTGGCTCAGACAACATACCGGTTATAGTCTTGCAGAAGTGTTCTCTGGAGCTGTTGTCTATCCTTTCAAAACTATTCAACAAGTGCTTTCAGAGTCTTCTTTTCCAGCCTGCTGGAAAGCAGCATCTATTATACCTATTTTTAAAAATTCTGGAGAGCAATCTGATTTATTTAACCACCGTCCCATTAGTCTTCTTCCTATCATAAGCAAGGTTTTTGAATCTTTAATTAACAAACACTTGATCTCTTATCTTGAATCTAATAACTTACTTTCTGATCATCAATATGGATTTCGATCTTCTCATTCTATGGCTGATTCGCTAACAGTAATAACTGATAGGTTTTATTGTGCATTAGATGAAGGTGGAGAGGCTAAGGCCATTGCTCTTGACATTTCTAAAGCGTTTGATACAGTTTGACATGCTGGTCTTCTCCATAAGCTTTCTTTTTATGGTGTATCTGAAAACATCTTTAAGATTATTGAATCCTTCTTTTTTAATAATAGTCTAAAAGTTATCCTTGATGGACAACACTCTTCTTCTTTTTCTGTAACCTCAGAGGTTTCTCAAGGTTCAATTCTTGGCCCTATACTCTTTTTAATTTACATTAACGATCTTCCAGATATTCTCACATCTAAGGTGACATTGTTTGCTGATAATACTACCATTTATTCTTGTCACGATAAGAAGCCAACTCCCTCTGATTGCTTGCAGGGGTCATTTGAGCTTGAAAAGGATCTTACTTCTGCTACAGCATGGGGTTCACAGTGGCTGGTGAACTTTAATTCAGATAAAACTCAATTTTTTTCCAGCCGATCTTTATTGCAATAATTTAGAACTCATTATATTTATTAACGGTAAAGTACTGGATGAGTCATCTTCCCTTCATCTTCTAGGATTAACTATTACTTTTGATCTTTCTTGAAAACCATATACCAAATCCGTTGCAAAATTAGCATCTGCTAAAGTTGCATCTCTTTATCGAGCTCGACACTTTCTAACTCTGGATTCTATTCTCTATCTCTATAAATCCGACCTTGTATGGAATACTGTTGCCATATCTGGGGCCGATCTTCTAATGATGCCCTTTCTCTTTTAAACAAGGTGCAAAAACGCATTGTAAACACAGTTGGACCTGCTCTTGCAGCCAACCTTCAACCTCTGTCACATCGTCGTAATGTTGCTTCTCTTTCTCTTTTCTACTAATGGGCACTGATCTAAAGAGCTAGGGTCTCTTGTGCCATCTACTAAAATTCATTCTTGTGTAACTTGTCATTCAATTAAGTCCCATCCTTTTTCTGTGACTGTTCCTAAGTGCTCTAAAAACTCTTATTATTCTAGTTTTTTTCCTCAAACATCAGTTCTTTGGAATTCGCTTCCTTCATCTTGCTTTCCTGATTCATATAATTTGCAATTTTTCAAATCACCTATCAATCATTATCTTGCTCTACAATCTTCATCTTTCCTCTTCCAGTAACTTCCATCTCTAATTAGTGGTTGCTTGCAGCCTTGTTGGAAGTGAAGATGTTTAAAAAAAAAAATTGCTTTTCTGTTCAAACGAATACCATTGAATAAACCTTTTTAGCCAGAAATTGAACCAAAATTTTGCAATAAATTTTGACCATTTATATCAACTCATAAGTACAACCCTATTGATTAGTTAAACAAACAACCTAATTATAATAATAATAATAATAATAATAATAATAATATTATATATAATCATTAATCTGTATTTTTCTTAAAAAAAAAAAAAAATTTAATGAACTTCAGCAAAAAAACTAATCAAAATATTTTATAATAAAAATATAATAAAAGTATTATGTTCATGTAATTTTCAATTACCATGATGAATTTCATAACCAATTTTTTTATACAATAAAACTGTAGGATATTTATTTATAAGAAACCTCTGACAAAGATCTGCAGCTTGTAAACAGTTAACATGGCCAATCTAAAATTAAAAAACAAAATCTAACATCCCAAAAAATGTATTCAAATATTTAACAAAACTAAAAAACTACATTAATATTTTGAAGTAAAGCCTCCGTTTTTCGTAACTCATGATTTTTGTGATCATCACGATCAGTAAACATGAAAAGCCATTCATTGCTTTTGTTTTCTGATATATTTCGTCGAATTTGCTATAAACATTTTGAAAAAAAAACATGTTAATGATAAAACATAATAAAACTGACAAATGATAAAAAAATATATATACTAACGATAAAACATAATAAAACTGATAAATAATAAAAATTATAAAACATGTTAATGTTAAGAAAAAAAATTATTTGGATTTTACAAATTCATTGTCGACTTTCTTAACATATAAATGATATTATTCATTAGATACAGTTTGTTTTAACCAAAGTATGAACTAATAGAATAACCAGAAGTATGAGCCATCATTAGAAAATTAAATTCAAATAAATCTGATTGTACTTAAAATATTTAAGAAATACCTGAAATATGTTATCATTAACTTGAAGTGGTATAGGAAGCAAATCCAAAACTTCACTGACTAATTCTTTTGCATTTATGTTAACAATTACCTACATAAAAATATTTTCATTCATTCTAAAAAGTATGTAAAGAGAAGTTACAGCATTTTTCAAGTTAAAAATAACTAATAAAATAAAAAACATTTACTAACAGTCCCTTGAGTATCTTTTACTGATTCAGCAGAGTAAAAATAAACCCCACTTGAATGAGATAATTGTTTGCAAAGAGATATTTCATTCTCACAATTAACTGATCCAACATTGACAAGATCTTCCTATTAAGAAATCAACAAACAAATTAAATACAAAAATATACTTTTCTAAAGTTAATACAATAATATCAAAACATAAAATTAGTGTTTGCAATTTCAGTAAAAAATAAATAAATGACAACATACCAACATGGCTGACACTTTCAATAATGTTGTATCAGATAAACAATCTATTGAAATATAAGATTTAATTGATATTAAAAAGAATTTTAAAAAATAATTTAAATTTCAACTTAAAGACTTAGGGGTTGTCCATAAATTACGTCAGTCTTTAGTGGTAGTGGTGGTGGAGGTGGGGGTGGAGAGGTTTTGTAGGCGATTTTGTGACAATTTGTTACGAGGAGGAAGGGGTCTCCATATTGTGTAACAGTCTGTAAACAGGCTGTAACAGTCTTTGTGCAGTGCACACTCTGCACTTTGACTTTAAATGGTCCAAGTGTAGAACTTTATTTAGTTGCTGCACTTAAGTGTGCAGCAATAAAAAAAAAACCTTAGTGCACTAATTAAAAAGAAAAAAATTTCGACACCGAAAGGCGAACCTGGAACCATAGGTTTCCTAGCCTGAAGTGGAATCCATTCGGCCACGCAAGCATACCAGTTTGAAAGAAAATTTTATTTATAAAATAATATTTTTGCATGCATTATATATTATTATGTATTATATATTATATATATAACATTTTGCATGTTTTATATATCGGAAGAATAGATTTTTAAAATTAGTATCATGTTTAGGATAGCGACATTTTATACAATTAGCGATAATTTATACAATTTTTTGTAAAATTTTGTACCCCCTCCTCCTGTCGAAAAAAAAAAAAGGGGGTACAAAATTATTGCATAATATGGGGGGAGGGGGTCAATAAAGTGTAATGATGTGTTACGAGATGGTCAAAAAATGTCAAAAACTGCGTGACGTAATTTATGTGGTAAATTTTTCTCTCCATATTTGATACATTTATATGGTATGGTTGGTACATTTATGTAGTAAATTTTGAACATTTGTGGTATATTTGTACATTTGGTTAATTTATGCGGTACATATTGTACATTCTTTGGTAAATTTGATACAATGTGGTATTTAAATTACATTTATTTACTAATCTACCAACTTACCATGATCTTCTTCACAAAATGAAATAATCCAAGGCATTGAACTTTCATACACAACATTTATATTTTCTAAAAAAAAAATCTTTAAATAGTAAAGATAATTCGAAATAATTTTATTATCTCATTCAAGTTTTCACTTTGATCAATTTTGATTTTAGTTTAGACAATGAAATATTATACTAGTTTAAAAAAAAAAATTATGTAAAAGAAAACATTTTTAAATATAGTTTTTATATGAAAACAAAATTAGGTTGGGGCTTAATAACTTAATGTAAACTGAAAGTTAAGGTTTGCAGTATCTTTATACTAAAAAATTGTGCAAAATATAATGTGCAGACCTTAATTTACAGTATTATGTATACATACATACATTCATACATACATACATACATACATACATACATACATACATACATACATACATACATACATACATACATACATACATACATACATACATACATACATACATATATATGCCCCTAAATTAAAAAAAAAAAGATCTGTCCCTATTCTTAAATATTTTAATTGGATCTAACAAGCAACTCTGTGAAATTTTTACATAATTCAATTGTGTTTAGGGGGGTCACCGAAAGTCTAAACTTTGCAACCTGACTCTAAATGCCAAAAAAAACTTAAAGTAAAATATATATATATATATATATATATATATATATATATATATATATATATATAACCCTCGGAATTAGGGTCGGCACTCGGCAATGCCGACCTAACTGCCGACTTTAAAGTGTTTGAGGTCAGCACTTTTTTGCCGACCTCGTTTCTATGTTTTATGGTAAGATCTTTGTATCAAATTTTTCTTGCCGACCTGATGCCGACCTTTAAAAGATTGAGTTCGGCAAATATATATATATATATATATATATATATATATATATATATATATATATATATATATATATATATATATATATACATATATATATATATATATATATATATATATATACATATATATATATATATATATATATATATATATATATATATATATATATATATATATATATATATATATATATATATATATATATACACATATACATATATATACAGGGCTCGAATTAAGTGATCGCGAATTGCAATATCTGGAAATGCTTCCGGTTTTTAAATTTTTAGCTTTTTAAAAACAGTAAAACTGTTTTGATCACTAAACTCAATAGATATCATTTAATAAAAAATATTTACGTCGATTATGATATAAAATCTTATTGTAAAACCATATTATTACTATTATGTTCATTATTATTAAAGATTATAATTTAAACTTTATTATTTTAATTTATTTTATAAAACATCAGATAAAACTAAAAAAATAAAGCACGATAAAGTACGATATAAATAGCCTGATTTAAATACCATTTCTTTAAAGGGGGAGCACTTTTTCAAGAGGTGTCAAAAATATAATAAAAGTAAAGGCAACCAAGGGCATTTTTTTTAGCGTCTATATTTACCTATTTTTTGATAAGATTTTGCATAAATTTAATAAAATGATTATTTATATTTTTTATATTTCAAGACAGTTTCACCTTGCCTTTTTTTTGTGTTGTACTAACAGGTTTTGAATATATGTTTAATTTCAATTATTTTAGTGGTTAAACAAAGCGCAGGGGATCATGTGCCCCCCTCGCTCATGCCCTGCCTATGGGCCTGGTTTAAATGAGTTATGGGCCTGGTTTAAATGAATAAACTCATTTATTTATTTTAAAATAGCATGTAAAGAAACTACAGTGTTGGCGAAAAGTATTACAACTTTTCTAAATTTAACATTTTTATAAAATTTGAAATGAATTTAATGTTTATATATCATATATTCATACAAAAATGATAATACCAAACAGCGGCACACTATGTAAACAATTATGACGTCATTATAGTTAAACGTGCTGCATTATAGACTTTTCTTACGAAACCATACTTGGGAATAGCATAGAAAATTTTTATTTTTTTCGCTTTTTGAGAGGTATAATTTAATCATAATGGGTCTGGCAAAGGATATTTCACCAAGAAAACATGCAATTATTATTCAATATTTGAAGGATGGTATGAAGCAGCAAGATATTTCTAAGAAATTATGTTAAAGTAAGTCTTCAGTTAGTCAAATAGTTAAGAAATACAAAACTTTTTCAGCATCACCACTGAAACGTTCTAGACGACCCAGAGTAACAACAACACGTGATGACTCTCTACTCCGACGCTCTGCAGTCAGAAATCCAACTTATTCAAGTCTTCAAATAAAACTAGACACTGGTTGTGGTGCGAGTACACGAACAATACGTGACCGACTGTGTTCGTTTGGTTGAAGAGCTCAACGTCCATATCGCAAACCTCTGCTATCTAAGCAGCAGCGACAGAAAAGAGTTCAGTTTTGTAATAAATATAAGAACTGGAATGCAGAAAGATGGTTCACGGTGTTGTTTTCCGACGAGTCTACATTTCTGCAGTTTGGATCTGTCACGCAATATGTATGTAGACCAGTTGGATCTCAAGATGATATTTGTTACACCTTGCCGACAGTTAAACATTCACCTCAAATTATAGTTTGGGGATGTTTTTCAGTAATGGGGCGAGGGTATATATACTTTATACCAGCGAAACAGATGGTAAACTCTGTTGAATACCTAAAGATTTTAAATTCAAAACTACCCCTAGCCATGCGCTTGCATTGCTGTGAACTGTTTCAACAAGACTCGGCACAATGCCATACCAGTCTAGTTGTAAAAAAGTGGCTAACTGACAATGGGACTCAAGTTCTGGACTGGCCAGGCAACAGTCCAGATTTGAATCCCATTGAAAATCTCTGGACAGTGATGAAAAGAAAAGTAAGAAAATATTACAGTAAAAGCATTGAAGAACTCATTTACAACATTAAGAAGGTGTGGTACACCGAAATCACCCCAGATCTTTGTCAAAAACTGGTTCAGTCGATGCCAAACGGTATCAAATGTGTGTTGAAAAACCATGGACAGCCTTCTAAGTACTAGATATTTATATACGAACACTTCTTTTAATAATACTCTTGTGTATTTGTTTAATGTGTGTTTTTTTTTTAAAGTTGCAATACTTTTCGCCAATACTGTAATTTATGGAAAAAATATTAAAGAATATTTACATTTTTAAATCACAAATATTTTTCATAAGAATGAAATGTGTCCAACAACATGTAGTCTTTTTAAATTTCTTTTGCAAATTGTGAGCAGCAATATTTTCTTAAATTAAATTTAACAAACAAAATAGCTGCCAACATTTTCATTGTGAGTTTGGATTTCCCTTCCGTCCAAATACCATTGGCAATTGAAAACAATTGCTCCACGGAAGTGTTTGTGCCTGGCAAACGTAGAGTGGCCTATACTCATTTTAATAATTAATAATATGTAAATTTTGACTGTTATTATTTTTGCAGTAGTAAATTTATTGTTTTTTTTTTTTCATTAATTTTTGCAATATGATAAATTGACCGTTTCATTAAAACAGTGTTAACTGTTTTTAAAAAAATAAAGAATTTAATGACCAGAAATATTTCTGGATATTGCAGTTCGCTATCACTTAATTTGAGCCCTGATATATATATATATATATATATATATATATATATATATATATATATATATATATATATATATATATATATATATATACATATATATATATATACATATATATATATACATATATATATATATATATATACATATATATATATACATATATATATATATATATATATATATATATATATATATATATATATATATATATATATATATATATATATATATATATATATATATATATATATATATATATATATATATATATATATATATATATATAGTAGGGTGGTCCAAATTTTACACATTATTTAAAATGCAGACTTCACATAAATGTGTTCTATATAATAACATAACACTAGAGTTGAAAAATCTTAGAAATAAAAATAGTTTTAGGTAGCTATAGTCTCTTAAAGATCAAACGGGCCCCTATTATTATCAAGAAAAAAATTTCTTTAAAAGTAGATTATTTTAGGTCTCAAAAGAAGCAAAATTTTATAACAATTTCAAAAATAATCATCATTTTATAAAAAAAATATTATTTTAGCATTCACTGCATAGAAAACGACATTTTTTAACTAAAAATATAAAATTTGCATTTAAAAAAAAAAAATTTGTTATAATTTTTTGTTATAATTTTTTTCTTGATAATATTAGGGGCCTGTCTGATGTTTAAGAGACTATAGCAACCCCTAAATAAAATTTTTTTCAAAGATTTTTCAACTCCATTATTATGTTATTATATAGAACACATTTAGGGTTGTAGAGTCTGCATTTTAAATAATGTGTAAAATTTAGACCATATATATATACACACACACACACACAAAAGAATAGAAAAAAAAATTACCAATACATTTCAAGTAGTTCATAAATTCTTATATGAACATGAGACATAAGCAAAAGATAAGTAAATAAATGATTATGTAATGATGGTAAAATTACAACAGAGAAGAAATTGCCTCATAATAAATAAATTTTCAAACAATATCAACGATATTCATATTCACAGATTAACTATGAAACATCTCCCATGCAAATGAAACATCTTCCATGCAAATGAAACAGTATCTACCATGCAAATGAAACAGTATCTCCCATGCAAACAAAATAGTATCTCCCATACAAATGAAACAGTATCTCCCATGCAAAGTGATGAAGAGTTAACCACAATATCATTATGAAACTTAGACATTTAGGTTATTTTTAAGTATTGCATAAAAATAACCTAACTATCAAAGACCATTGTTTTCTTTTAAAGTGAGGTTGTGCCACTAATTTATTAGAAACAAGAGATATTTAAAAAAAATGAGATGTTCAAATATGTTATTTAGATCAACTTTGAAACACAAAAAGCGCCTATATAAGCTTAAAGGATATGACACATATGGAGTTGAAGTGAATAGGTAATTGGGTAGCTACTGACAATAGAGGGCAATGATTGGTAATCATAAGTCAGAGTGGAAGAAAGTCAAAAGCAGTGTTCCACAAGGTTCAGTAATTAAACCGCAACTCTTTATACCTTAAGTGATCTAACAGACAGCATAACACATTGAATAAGGATATATGCTGACAACAAATTAGATATAAACCTGATTCCAGGCTTAATAACATGCAACACAGACGATGCAACATTAGAAAATGACAAAAAGTATGTTTGTCCAAAAAAAGAAAAGTGATGCAGGTTGGACATCTGAACAATAAATCTTCTCAAGACTACACAATGCTCAATCAGGCAGGAAACAGACAAGTACTTGAAAGCATCACAAATGAATTGGACTAATTGTTTCTTATGACTAGATAGTAAAATTTCAAGTAGAAATCGAAGGAGCAATTATGTATTACACTCTCTCTAAAACCTTTTTAGAAATAGAGGAGTTTTTTGTGGAGCCTTGTACATCCTGTATGTCAGACTTGAGTTTGCTATTCAACCTGGTTCTCCACGCCTATACTAGAAAGTATTCAGAAAAGAGCAACAAAAAAATCACTAAAATAAGTTATATGAGGAGAGACTCCATATTCTTGAAATCACAACTCTTAAAGAAAGAAGAAATTAAAACAACATGATCCAGCAATTTAAAATCACTCATAAAAATAATGAACACAGTGTGTCTCTTTAATCTATAAGCATAGTAGTGCCTGATGTCACAATTCTCCAATGTGATAGTAAACATTGAAGAAGTTCTTCTGGCTCATGTGTACAATGATTTGAAAAAAAAAGTTTTAAAGTTGCCAAATGAAACTTTGTTGACAAGTTTAAGAAGTAATTGGGATGTTATGCAACATGACTACTCTCACAAACGTCTATTTCACCTAGCTAATCATAGCCCACAACCTAGCTAATCATAGCCCACAAACACAAGAGCTGTATACTGTTATGAAAAAAGAGGTAATAACTTAACATGGTAATTTAACATAATCATAATACAATAATAAAGTTTAAGTTTATATTTCTTTTACCCAAAAATACCATACACTTTGCAAAGTAAAATTGAGCAACCCATGAGTGAACAATTTACTTATGGGGACCTACAAATTGACTCTGATTTTGACAATATTTCACAAATTATTAATAATCACTTTGGAAACAGACAGCTCAAAAACTAACAATTAACTTTCGTCTTACTGTAGTGATGCACTCTAATATATATATGCACATATATACAAAAAAAGTTACAAAAAACAGCAATTTCTAAAAATGACATAGCACACCCCTTAATTGTGTTTTGTACAGTCATATGCAGTAAAATAGTAGTGCGTATTTTATTTTTCTATCAACAAACTTTGAACATCATTTTTTTCTATTGTTTGTTTTTATCGTTATTGTTCATAAACTAAATATTGTGATTACAATAGTATAAAAAAAATTTATAAAAGATAATTACAGCACTGTATGGTTTTAAATTTCAATATTATCGATTGAAGGTCATTCGTATTTTTTTTTAGACTGTGCAAAAAAATAGTAGTGAAAATCATTTTTTGTGAAAAGGTCAAAAAATAATTAAATTTCATTACGAAAAAAAATTACATTAGCATTTTGAAAAAAAATACATTAGCATTTTGTTGCATGACCTTTATTTGTAATAACCACCAAGCATCGTCGTTACATGGAATTAACAAGATTCAGACATCGTTCAACAAATATATTTTGCCATGCTAACTGTACAATGTCCCACAATTGATTACAATCTCTTGGATTATTTTCAGAAACTGCTTGTCTAACATTAATCCACAAGTTTTTAATCGGATTGAGGTCGGGGGATTGTGCTGGCCACTCCATCACATCAATTTTGTTCTCATTTAACCACGATTAGGCAACTTGCTCGTATGTTTGGAATCATTATCCTGCTGGAACAAAAATTTTAACAGCAATTCTTCTTTAGCATAAGGCAGCATGATCTCTTCAAGTATTTTTACATATACAAACCGATCCATGATACCTTCTATGTGATGTATAGGCCCAACACCATAGTAAGAAAAACAACCCCATATCATTTTTTTTGAACCTCCATGTTTGACGGTCTTTAATGTAAAATGTGGCTTATATGCTGTACCCGTTGGTCTTCTAACATACTGTTTACGAACATGGGAACCAAAAATTTCAACTTTGTTTTCATCAGTCCACAAAACATTTCGCCATTTTTCTTTAGGCCAAGAGGCATGCATACGTGCAAATTTTAAACACGTTTCAATATATCTTTTACTCAAAAGTGGCACTTTTCTAGGTGTTCTTGCATTTAAATAGACATGTATTAATCATCTTCAAATAGTTGAGGTATTAACATTTAATTCTAGCCTTTCTTTGATTTTTCTAGAAGTAATAAATGGCATCTTTTTCGCTAACGATACAATTCGAGGATCTTCTATAGCGGTAGTTGTTCTTTTATTTCCATATTCTTCTGGTTTGGGTTTCCATTTTAAAGCATTACAAATCATTGTTAATGAGAATCCAACCAGTTCTTGTATTTGTTTGTAGGTTTTACCATAATTTTTAAGATTTATAATTAAATTACAAACTTCTTCAGTACAATGCTTAAGTGTTTTTCTAAAATTTCAAAATTTTAGTAAGTGTATAAATTAATCTAATATCAAAATTAATTACTTCCTTATAGCTTATTATTAAGAACTAATAATAATTAGAATTTAGCAAGTACAGCAATTATTACACAAAAATTAATTTTTCACTACTATTTTATTGCACATTCAAAAAAAAAATACAAATGACCTTCAATCAATAATATTGAAATTTAAAACCATACAGTGCAGCAATTATCTTTCTTTAATTTTTTTTATACTATTATAATCACAACATTTAGTTTATGAACAATAACGATATTTTTATTTTAAAAGTTTTAAATGTATTTTATGTACAAAATGACTTTTTTATCAATTATTATTTTTGAAATTTTTACATAACTTTCTTTGAAACTCAAGTTGACTTATTTTTATTTTATTAGTGACTCGTTAAATGTTCTTGAGAAATGTGTAAAAAGAATTTTTATTTAAAAACCTTTTAAATTCAGTGTTATTTCATTTTATAGAAATTATTTGGGGGGTGTGATATGGCTTTTTTAAATATATATATACATTTAGGCATACATATATATACCTGTATTTAAGCGAGTTACATCGATTTGAACTCTATCAAATACATATGCCATCATATTTTCTACACTGTGTTCTCCGTAGTAATCTTCGGCCTATAAGAAAAATAATTTTATAGTTAAAAATAGTATGTGAACCTGGCCCAGACAAAATTATAAGATTTAGCTGGGGTTGCACAATGGGCCAAAATTCACTTTTACTGGACGAAACTAATAACTAAACTAATATAAAAAAGATTTTTTTATATTAGTTTTTAGAACTATTTTTGCACTGTTCACTAATTTGAGGTTTGTGGTTTCAATGGTGACATTAGTTTTAAATTTTGGGTTGCTATGGATATCTTAATTGCTAAGCAACCACATATTTATTAACCTTAACAAATATGAACTGAAAAAAGTAATAACTTTATTGGATTATTCCCATAAATACCACTTAAGTATCAACCAAATAAAAAATTCATTAAATTTAAAAATTAAAAAACCAAATAAAAAATTCATAATACCACTACATTCGTAGTATAAATACTACGAATGTAGTGGTATTATGATTTTTTTATTTGGTTGATAGTGACTCCTGAAATGCCTGGCAATGGTTCATTTTGCATAGTTACTAGCTTAAGTAACTTTTCTTAAAGCATCAATGTTATAAACTAGACTAATATTAATGTGGCAATCTAATTAAAAATTATTTTCTGAATTTAACAAATTTAACACATTCCTAATTACTAATTTTAAGCATTTTTATGCAGTTCCAGGGCTCTATTTTATATTTCATGAAACTACTACATAATCCATATAAAACCTTTTTGTGTATATAATAATATGAAAATTTTGATTTAAAAATATTTTGAACTAAAACTCATGCATTTGAACTAAAACTTTAAAACAATTGAAAAACAGCTTTAGCTTCTTTTTCTTTACTATCTTTGCGCAAACTACAACCTGATGCAAAACAATAGTTTTTTAGATAAATATGACAACTAATGGCGCCAATCTTTTTTTCTTTGTTTTACTTTTTAAAGTACCAAAATTCACCTAAGGCCTGCCAGACACTACAATTGTATAGATCCAGAGTTTTTTTTATCAATGGAAGCATTTAGTAGAACTTTCTTAATATTAATATGCAAAGTTTTTATTAATATGTAAATTGAACTGATATTGGTTATGATATTGGTATACAGATGAAATATTGGATATTGGTTCATTTTGTAGCTTTTGTAGCTCTGACATTTAACTTGTAAAAATCATTGTTAGAGGTGGACACCCGCAGATTATAAACCAAATTAATATCAATAATATACATATAGATCAATGTATATTAAGTCTCAAATTATTGGACCACTTTGGACTGCAAAATTATTCGACTATGTAAGTGAAATTTTAACTAAACAAAATACTTTAAATACACCATCATTTAAAATTACTTTATTTGACATAACTTACATGCAAAATAGTTTTGCAATAGCTTATTTAAAAAATTATACTAGATTTTATGCAATATTATGCAATAAAAAGAGAGGTTTTAAAATTAACAACTATTTTATGCTTATTGGTAACACAAAAATATTATCGAATTAAAAAAAAAAATTTTAAAAAAAAAAAAAGCTTTTTATTCTACAGCTTAGAAGCTGATAACTGCATGATAACTGCATGATAACTGCATGATAACTGCATGATAACTGCATGATAACTGCATGATAACTGCATGATAACTGCATGATAACTGCATGATAACTGCATGATAACTGCATGATAACTGCATGATAACTGCATGATAACTGCATGATAACTGCATGATAACTGCATGATAACTGCATGATAACTGCATGATAACTGCATGATAACTGCATGATAACTGCATGATAACTGCATGATAACTGCATGATAACTGCATGATAACTGCATGATAACTGCATGATAATTATATCAAAATACATTTTATAAAAGCTGAATGTTTAAGCTGTAAAATGGTATATAACAATGTAATTTTTGAAAATGTTTTTTTTTTACTTTTGTTCAGCCAGGGCTAAAAAAAATTTATAATACTTTATATATTATAATTTTATGCTTACATTTACTATTTTTTAAATGCTAGCATATATTTATATATTTTAAAACTCTAATTGACTTCCAACAAGGTTGCAAGTAACCACTATTAAGTTTTGAGTTACTTTAAAAAAGAAAGAAATGCAACCTTATAACAATGGGAGAGTGGCTCAAGCCTGGCAGATAAAGCATGTCTAATTAATTTATAATTTTCTTACTTTTGCTTTTAGACTTAGTCTGAGAGTAAAGAGAGTTGTTATTCGTCAATATAGGAATACCAACAATATTGCAATATTTTTTCTGCAGTAAATAAATGAGTTTTGCTGTCTAACAAAAATTGTGGATTTTAAGTCCAGACTTAAAATCCACAAGCTGCTGCAAGCCTTAAGCTGTTACAGAAAAGATATCAGATTTAAAATAGACTGCTTGTTCTAAGCAATCAAAAATTGAAGAATTTTTGTCAAGACAAGAGTATAAATTTGAGTTGTCAGCAAATAGAGTCACAAATTTAAACTAAAATTTTTCTGCATTGCCACCAGCTTTAAAAGCAGTTACCTGTTTTTTGTAAAGCATAATAATCTAAAAGCCGTGACTACTTCTCAATTTTTCTCTTTACAAATCAGGATAGCATTTGTCTTTGATTAAGATAGTAAAGCTTTTATCAGATTTTTAAAAAATTGAAAAATAGAAGATTTAGAATATTGTATTATTGAACGGTAATGTATTCGTTGAGTCATCTACCCTTCATCTTTTAGGATTAACTCTTACTTCTGATCTTTCTTGGAAACCTTATATCAAATCCGTTGCAAAATTAGCATCTGCTAAAGTTGCATCTCTTTATCGAGCTTGCAACTTTCTTACTCTGGATTCTATTCTCTATCTCTATAAATCTCAAATCCGTCTTTGTATAGAATACTGTTGCTATATCTGGGGCAGATCTTCTAATGATGCCTTTTCTCATTTAGACAAGGTGCAAAAATGCATTGTAAACATAGTTGGACCTGCTCTTGCAGCCAACCTTCAACCTTTGTTACATCGTCGTAATTTTGCTTCTCTTTCTCTTTTCTACAAATACTATAATGGGCACTGCTCTAAAGAGCTAGGGTCTCTTGTACCATCTAATAAAATTCATGTTCGTGTTACTCGTCATTTAATTAAGTCTCATCCTTTTTCTGTTACTGTTCTTAAGTGCTCCAAAAACTCTTATTCGTCTAGTTTTTTCCCTCGAACATCAGTTCTTTGGAATTCGCTTCCTTCATCTTGCTTTCCTGATTCATATAATTTGCAATCTTTTAAGTCATTTTGCAATCTTTTAAGTCATCTAACACTAATTAGTGGTTGCTTGGAGCCTTGTTGGAAGCGAAGATGTTTAAAAAAAAAATTATTAAATGCAAAACAATGATGTTTTGAATTTGTATGTGATGTAAGACCTTTTTGAGATTACTTTTTAGAGTATTGTGAATGAAAAGTGTAATTAGTTTACTAGACAATTCTAACACCAAGACATCTGTATCTTTAATAAAATGTTTGTCTTCAAAAATAACATTTTCTAAAGAAACATACTTGGTTAGGATAAATTTACATAAATTACAAACAAATTATATAAATTTTCATAAATTTAGGATAACTATACATACTTGTTTAGGATAAATTAACAGCCATTTTAATAATACTAGAATTTCATTCTATGTAGTCATTAAAAATTTATTTTAGGTAGTACACAATACTCAATAGTTTTATTCAACTACATTATAAAACATTAAAAATTTCAACCAAAGCAAATTTTTTAAAACTTTGAATCATTTTTAGAATAATGCTTTTAATAACAATTATTTGACAACAATGTTAGCATTGTTATTAACATTGTTATTAATATTGTTATTAATATTGTTATTAATTACTGTTAAATTTTAAAAGAGATCTAAAAAAAGTTTAATAATTTAATTCTATAAAAAACATTGATTATACACATGATTATACTACTTTGTTTAAACTCTGTTAATACTTACTAAAATAGTTTTAAATGTAAAGCAAGTATCATTTTTTTAACTCAAACTTAAATGATTTTTAATTTTAAATCAAACTTATTATACTGTATGATATCAAGAAATTAAAATTAAAATATAATAAACATAAGTAATTATATTACTCAAAATTTAGATTAACTTATTAGAAAACAGTTTTAGGTAAATAATTTAATTTAGAAAAAGTAGAAGTAGAAGAATGTAAAAAGTAAAGTAGAAGAAAAAGTAGAAGATGTATGAAAAGTAGAAAAAGAAGTAGAAACAATATTTGGTAGAGTAAAACGGGGTCAAACCACACACCATATTATTTTGGACACTAATAAAAATTTTTAAATAAATCAAATAGTTTTTTAACAACTTTAACAGGGAGTTAATTTTTATACATTTGTTATCGATGTGAACAGAATAGAGCTAAAACCAAAACTGATATAAAAATAATTTTACCATTTTGATCATCACTCATTCAATTAAATTCAACTTCAAAATGTCAACTAAAACTTATAGAAAGAAAACAATATATCACTGAGATATTGTTTTCTTTCATATCAGTTAAGAAAACTTAACTGATATGAAAGAAAACAATATATCACTGAGATATTGTTTTCTTTCATATCAGTTAAGAAAACTTAACTGATATGAAAAAAAACAATATATCACTGAGAAAAGCTGCATTCAAACAAGGTGTTCCGGTCTTAACACTCAAAGATTGCAAAAATAACAACAACAAAGGTTTAAATGGATCCAATGCAACAACCGTACTCTCAAATGAAAAAGAAAGAATGATGGTGCATACGTTCGAATTACCTAATGATTGGGGTTATGGTTTAACACAAAATGAACTCCTTGAATTTTTAATTGGCTACCTTAACAATGAAGATCAATTGCACTTATTGATGGCAATAAAAAATTAAAATGGCAAGCCTGCCAAAGACTGGTTTTATGCCTTTATGAAGAAATGGTCAATGCATTTAACAGAGCTGGTTCTTGTACACAAGAAATAAATGATCGCTATTTTAAATGCGTCTAAATATTTAATTTCAAAATCAGGTTGGATTGAGCACGATATTTTTATTGAATGGCTGAAAGAAATATTTATACCCTAAACTGAGCAAATTGGCAGTATTTATATTTTAGTACTAGATGGGCATACGACTTATATGACTTTGGAAGCGGTATTGCTGTGCAAAAAACACAATATAATCTTGATTTGTCTACCAGAACATTCTTTACATATTCTAAAATCATTGGATAGAGGTGTCTATCGTCATCTCAAACAAGCATGGAAAGAAATTCTTATCAAGATTACAGACTCAAAATGTAAGAATTTACATAAACAAAATTTTTCATTGTTGCTTAAACTGCTGTACATGCAATCGCCAGTTTTCAGTGCACTGGTTTATTTCAACTTAATAAAAACAACATAAATCCTAAAGAATTTGTAATTATACAAACATTTGTGTGATTGCTAATGTCTTACACCATCATCATTTTTAGCAGCCTCTGCAGCACCTACACAATTTTGCTCAGTCACAGCTTCATCATCTTCAACAGCCTCCACTACACCTACTTTAACTACCCACTGATTACCATCTTTATTAACTACACCAGTTTGGAATTTTGATAGGTGTAATTGTAGAGAACAATTACACACAGAAATGTAACAATATGAGAGCTTAATGTGTATGGAATGTAATGTGTATGGAATGTAATGTGTATGGAATGGTTGCATAAAGAAACATGTTTACCAAAGAAATGTGTAGTTGGTATTGAATTTTTTTTTTGCATAAAATGGAAAAATTTAATATACTTTGTTAAATAGTTGTGTTAAAAATAATAATAAAAAATTAAAATTTAATAAATTAAATGTTTACTCAAGTGTACGGCTTTATCAGAATGTCGCCTAAAACCACATTAAAAGTATAGTTTTTTAATGTTTTTGATAACTCAATTATTTTTCTAAATTTTATTTATATAATCATTATTTAGATAATTTTACGTAGTTTTTTACAACCGATCTAATAAACAATAATCAGTTAAAATACCCATTAAAAAGTATGTAGCTTGTATTTTTGCCTGATTCTTACAGAAAGTGACTCTTAAACTGTAATCTTTCCATAAACTTCAATAAAATAAAAACATTATGGAAATATCAATAAATCAGAGATTTTATTTCAATAAAATATTTAAATTTTTATTAGTTTTTTTTTTTGTTATTATTAACATTATTATATTGTTTTCATTGATATACTGTAGTAAATAATTATTTTGTTATTTTTTATTTATCCAAATATTACAAAACAAACTTACAGAAGGATAAATACGCAATGAAGGATACCCTCTAATTCCTTCAGCATTACATAACATCCAATCGTCATGACAGTTTACGGCTCCAATTCGAACTACACCACTTAATTCTTCAGAAAGTTTTCGCCACTAACAATGTCAACAGTTTTTATTTATATTGATACTATTTAGTATTACTATTTAAATTATTTAACATATATATATATATATATATATATATATATATATATATATATATATATATATATATATATATATATATATATATATATATATATATATTCAGTATATATACAATGTCAACAGTTTTTATTATTTATATTGATACTATTCAGTATTACTATACAGTATTTATATATTTATAAAATAGTTCAGACTTACTATAGGTGCAACAGTATGACAATGTGAACAATGAGGTGAATAAAAGTTGATAAACCAAATATCTTCTGAGTTTGAAACTGATTGTTCTTAAAAAAAAAAAACTCTTGATTTAAAGTACACCTTATTTCAATATTTTATTACAATAGAAATATTTAGTTTATGACAATTGAAATACATTTTATTTATTGCAATTAAAAACTTGGCTGAAAAAATAATACTATTATTTATCTAATGAATTCAAGGTTATTTCACATGTAAATAGTGAATTCATAGAAATAACAGTTTATAGAAATAACAGTTCATAAGAAACAATGAACTCATAGAAATAACAGTCCATAAGAAATAATGATTTCATAGAAATCTTTTCAAACGAAGCAAACTTATACCAAAATCTGCTTTGCTTAGCGTAATAACTTCAGGATCATCGTCATAAATACCAAACTGTTCATTATAGTATGTCCAACTTTGATAATTGTTACTAAAATGATTATCTTTAAGACCATCTTCACCATATCGATCATATTTCTTGCGCAGTTCTTCATCTGGAAAAAAAAAATGATTTAAAGTTGCATATTTTTTAGACTCAATTACAATCAACTTAAATTTTTTTTTAAACTTAAAATTTAATTAGTAATACATAAAAGGACATAATAGATCTTCATATCTTTAAAAGTAAGATAAATGAGTATAACAAAAACATATTTTTTTGACAATATATATTTTAAAAATTTGAATCAAATATTCTTGCATGAAACAATGACTGAAAAGTGTTTTTAACTTTGACATGCTTGACCATTTTTAAACATAATGTATTATAGATGTCAATTATAGATGTTTAACACTTTTGAATAAGCATTTAACAGTAACTATGCAATAATATTTATTTTTAATATACAACAAACAAAACAAAAAAAGAATAAAAAGTGTCTAAACTGTGTAAAGTTAGAAAAACTAAGATAAATAGAAATACTGTATCAAATATTTATTTAAAAAAAAAGTGATGATGATGATGATGATGATGATGATGATGATGATGATCATCATCATCATCATCATCATCATCATCATCATCATCATATGGATGTGGGGTAATGCAATTAAAATGTTATGTATCGCAACACGCTTGTTCAGTAAAGCATCTCTTATTCGTTATTGCAATTTTTTTGTTCGCTATTGCAACTCCATGTTCGTTTTTGCAATTTGAATACTTTTATTTTTTTTATTAAGTGGTTACGTCGTCAGCCGGCAAAAAAATTTTTAGATCGAAATGTTAGTTGGGCAGAGAAAAATTGTTTGGTGAGTGAAGTAAAATATATTGGTATCAAAACAAAATTGTACTTTTAGGAAGTAAGTTTATGGAAATCTAATATATATCAGTAACCTATACAACTACACATGTGTTTAAAGTTGTAAAATTCTTTTACTAATTTTTTATTTACAAAATTGAGACAAAAAAAAAACTTAACTTAAAAGTGTATATACTTTATTGAGTACAATCAATTTTGAAGTTTATCCAACTTTACAAACCAATTTGTGATATACTTAAAGAGTATGAGCTGGCTAAAATGTGATGTATATCGATTTTTACTCAATAATTGAGTAAAAGTTTATTTAAACCACTCTGATTTTAGATAGCTAGAACTAGCGGTAGAATTAAGTGGAATCTGAGTCAACTTCTACTTAAAATTTCACCTTAAACATTACGATTTTAGCCAGCTTATATTAATATTAAAATTTGGTTTTAATAATAATATACTATATGTTTATGGTTGTGTTAAAAAACTCTATCGATAAAGTTTAGATGTGGAACTTATTATTTGCCAGTAATAAACATGAATTTATTTATTTCCTTTTTTTATTTACGAATATAGTGTTAAAATTATAGATAGTATTTTTTTAAACAGTAATAATATAATTTAAAAGAGTTTAAGATATATTTACATCAGATATGATATTATTGCATCAGTTGTTATCTTCATTAATATAAAGAATTATTTAAAAAATTTAACATTTTCCCTTGTACTATTTTTATGTGTATTTAAGTAATATGTCTGACAAAAACTTTTAATCATACTCCAACATTATTATCTTTTGTTTCTTTAAAAGATAATTATGCTTATTATAAAATTAAAAGACATTAAATAGTTTTACCATATTTACAATAGTTTAGTTTAAATGTTACTAAAGTAAATTTATTTGGCAAGTTTAATCAAAGCTATCTAATAAAGTTAGCTGAAAAATTATTAAAGTTTTCTAATATATTACTGACCGCTGAATTAATTGTAAGCAAATGTGCAGGGTGTGCAAGCTCAATTAAGTTTCAAATTTTAAAGCAACTTCGTTTTTTTTTAGTTATATAGTTGCAAGAGTAGCCTTCAAAACCTGATGAAAAAGATAAATGTCGTTATTCTTGTAATATATTTTATATCTTTTTCAAAGTTGTTTGCACAAGTACTTAAACATTCAGTTAGTGAGTGTCTATATATTTTGCAACACAAAGTTTAAAAACAGAAGTAGAATATCTTTAACTCTTTTACACAACAGTTTTACATCTTTTTACATGTTTTGACTCTTTTTATATGTTTTCATTAAACTATGCTCTATTTAGATTTTTTATTTAACTTCTGCGAGGAAAAACATTCGATCTCTTTTGCTTTGTTTATTAGTGAAATTTAGCATTGCATAATTTATGGACAATCCCTAACCAAATTGACTCTTATACCAAAGAAATTCACTAATACTTTAACTTTTACTTTTTCTATTCTTTATTTCTAGAAATTCATGGAAAACATGATTATTTTACCTAGTTTTTAAATTAATTAGATTTTTAGATTTGTCCTAAAAGTTAGTTATAATTATGATAATTACAGCAACTATAATTTTATTGTAGTGAAAACTCAAAATCGTACAATCAAAAAAAATGTAGTATGCAGATTTAAAAAAAAAAGACTTGAAATAAAGAGATAATTGAGTTTTTTATCTTCCCTGTTCCTTGGGAAAATAAAAATCTAAATTGTGCTCTTTAATGTACTTTCAAATATTCTGTGATTGTTATAAAGTTCAAATTTTTAAAAGTTATTTATAAATTTATTTTCTTGTTTTTTGAAGAAAAAGATGGATGTTTTTAAGTTACTGGATCATACTTTTGAAATATCTCACTCTATTGATGTCAGCATCTAATGCCTTGCAACAGCATACTTTTCAATAATATCCAACTCAACACCACATCGTGTACAAAAATGCACATTTGAATACAATTAAAATGTATCATTTCTCAGGAAAATTTATAATTGCTTATTTTAAATTTTTCTAAAAAAGGCATGTACTTTTTTAATGCTTTGAGTCAGATATAGAAGATTTGTTATCAAAATAACATTTTAAAGTTTAAAAATAAATTTTCTTCAACAATCACAACACAAACTAATTTGCATGGTTTAAAAAATTATATCAATTTGATCTTGTATATTTGTACGAAGATATCATAAGGTTTTTTTAAAGTTTATTTTGCACTTATTGCATTTATATTTTTATGTATATAATATTCATAAAATGCATTTATACAATATTCATAATTTATATGTATATAATATTTATATTTTATATTTTTATATCTTTATATTTTATATGTATATATCATGGATGCAGAATCCTAAAAAGGGATTTGAAAGTCACAAAAAGATTACGTCTTTCTAGTTTTTGGTATCCAGTAGCTTTAAAAATATAAAAAAGCTTATGGTCTACTAATGGGGAAAAAATCAAGACTAATAGGTCAGAAGAACAATCAATTTTTGAACCCAGAGCCCTAAGGTATAATGGCAGCAAGAACTCCAAGACTTCAGGCTTGAAAACAATAAGTTCCAAGTCATTAAATATCATAAATTTTTTTCTTATAGTATTAATCAACCAACATGTTTAGAACTTCTGGACACCAGAGACCATGAAAAAATCTCCGCATCCTGGTGTGTGTGTATATATATATATATATATATATATATATATATATATATATATATATATATATATATATATATATATATATATATATATATATATATATATATATATATATATATATATATATATATATATATATATATATATATATATATATATATATATATATATATGTATATATACATATACAGTGGGTTGCCAAATTATTAGGGACACTTTACTTTTTTAATAATTTTAAAGTTTTAATGATTATTGCGAGCAAATAAAATGTTTTTAAATAATTTTTCTTGTGTATTTTAGTTACTAACATAATTATTATTGTTTTTAAATTGTGGCAACACTGTCAGTCCACTCTATCTTTCAAAAAGTTAGGTTATTATTTAATTAGCTGTCAATTGTTGAAAAGTGTGGTTGGAGTAAGTTCAAAATTGATTTTAATTATTTATTTTTGGAACAATTTTTTGCAAGTTTTTCGAGTTCAGAACTATTGAAACCTAAGTATTGGTTAATAGTTCAATTAGTTAAGGCTAATAATTTATTATTTTTGCTAATTTTAATGCATAAATCCTGACTTGTAACCATTCTTACCTCATATTGATTTTTTTAGTATGGGCAAGTCTTCCGACTTAACCCTAAGAAAAAGTATGGAAGTAAAAACCTTACTTCTTCATTCTACACATTCTCAGAGAGAAATAGCAGCAATTGCAAGTGTTTCAAAGTCAGTAGTAAGCCAAATTAAAAGAAAAATCAATACAAATGTGCCTTTAGAACCAGGCCGTGTTGGCAAAAGTGGTCGAAAAAGGATCACGACTTCACATTGTGACCGTAAAATTAGGGACATCTGTCTTAAAAACAGGAAAAAAAGTGAGGCTCAACTAGCTAAAAAGATAAACAATGAAAAAATTAACATCTCCAAAAGGACGGTTCAAAGAAGGTTGGTTGAAGAGAATTTAATGGGTCGTCGCCCAACAAAAAAACCACGTTTAACTGAAGCCTTGAAAAAAAAGCGACTGGATTGGGCTAGAAAACACCAGCATATGACTATTGAAGACTGGAATAGAGTAAATATAATTTTTAATATTGTAAGAAATCAGAAAAATTATAGGATTATAATTTAAAATATCTTTGTAATGTTTTACAGGTCTGCTTCTAGGACGAGTCAACATTTCAAATTTTGATGGACAAAAGCTCATTTGTTCGACGACGCCCAGGAGAAAAATTTCACCAGGACTGCCTTTTAGAAAAAGTTAAACATCCTGTGAGTGTAATGGTGTGGTCTGTGATCTCAGCCAAGGGTATGGGCTGCCTCTACATTGTGAATGGGACCATGAGGCAGGATCAGTACAAGCGAGTACTGGAAAACAGTCTCCTGCCCCAGGTCCAAGAATGGTTTGCTGATAATGAAGAGTACATGTTCATGCATGACTCAGCACCGTGTCATAAAGCTAGAAGTGTTACAACATTCCTAACTGAAAAAAATGTGTGTGTTTTGCCATGGCCAGGGAATTCACCTGATATGAACCCCATAAAAAATCTGTGGGAGTTCACAAGACGGGAAACTGCCAAAGAAATCATCACTACTAAGCAG